CCACATCCTTGACCTTGTTGTGTGGCTCCATCACCTCATTAGTGAGTCGAGGGCCGCAAACGGGCCCAGGCCCAAATCTCCAATTCAGTTCCCCAACCAGAAAGCCCTCCAGCTGTCGGCCCACAGTCCCGCCTCACCCTCGTCGGGCCTATCAGTCGAGGACCAACTCATGCTCCACGGCATGAGCAAACGGAAACTGACGCCCGGGATAAGTAAAAGCCAAGAAATCGACACCTCGAAAACGAGGCTTCTGTGCAAAAACAACAGGCTCAGCAAGAGCAGCAATCACTCATCTACTACACGAGAGGGCAAGTGGGACCCGTTCCCGATCAGGCGGCCTTCCTCAGTCCCCATTATCAATTTTGACATCGACCGGATAAAGGCACTGGACGTCATCGACCGAGTCGACACAATTTGAGGGGCAAAATGGTAAAAAGGACGGATCTTTCTCGTCGTTGGGCCTGGATGTTCGAGGTCTCTGTATAGAGGTAACGAATACTTTTTTTTTTGTTTTTAACTGAGTAAATTTTGGTGAGATCTCCTTTGCTGTGTTGTTTTGGAATTTCATAATGTAATTTTATTTTTTTTATTTTTTTTTTTTATTTTTCTTTTTTTTTGGCTTGATGTAAATGGGAAGTGCATTGCAGTCTACTGCTTTTCTATTGGCTTATGGTAAATGGGAAGTAGTTAGTTTTTCTTGGATAATAATTTGCTAAATTATGTTGACCAAATCAAGATTATGTCCATTTTTTTGCAAAATAACCTTGCTTGTAATTTGAAGATTACTTAGTAATTTTGGATTTTGTTTTCGTAAAACTGTTTTTTCTTACTGTTTTTTTTTTTTAATTGTGCAAACGAGTCGAGTTCAAGTTCAAGCTCCTGATAATCGAGTTTGGGCTCAAGATTTTATGAAGCTGACAAAGTTTAGCTTGTTACTAAACAAGCTGGTAAATGAGTTTGAGCTCACTTGGTTTCTATCTATATTAATAAGCGGAGTTTGAATTTTAGGGAGCTAAATTTAAACTTTAACGAATTGATCAGTTATAGGAAAATTTATATAAAAATTCATATTTTACAATCTTAACAAGTCACTTATTGTGACTAGGGCTGCAAACAAGTCGAGCGGAGTCGAACATTGGCTTTATCGAGTAGGGTTGAATTTTATTTTTTAGCTGCTCGAGCTCGATTTATGAGGCTCGAGCTCGACTCGATAAAAAAATACAATAGTTTGAGCTCGGCTCGAGTTCGGTTTGAAAGTTTTAAGTGAAATTACTATCAAACACTTGTGTTATACAATTTATGTAACATAAATATATATAAAGAGTATTTTAGTAATTTAATATATATCGAGTCTGGCAAGCCGCTCGACAATGCAGACTCGAGCTCGACTCGAGTTCGTGCTCGAACCGCTCGATCTCGACTCGAGTTCGGTCAAACTCTAGCTCGAGTCGAGCTTTGACTTGAGCCCTCAACTCGATTGCAGTCTTAGTTATGATTTATCAAATACCAAAAGCTCTTCTTGAAGCTGATAAGCATCCACCTCAAATGATAACATCAGAATTTGGATTTGGAATTCGTAAGCTCTTCTTGTGATACTCGGGTTTATTTTCGAGCAGATTTTTTTTTTTTTTTTTTTTTTTTATTTAATAAAGTATATTTGTATTATTAGAATTTGATTTAGATGTAAACGATTGCCTTATTCAGATCATCACAAAAATAAAATAAAAACAAGTTTTGATTTTTATACACGAAAATACAATAATTTTAAAATTTAAAATATATCAATCATGTAAAATTAATATAATAATTATAGGAATATGGTATTTTCTTTTTAAGATCCTTATATTTAACGAGCGTCTAATGTCTTTTATAACATTGGTAAGAAAAATAATATGTACAAGTATACTCAACTTTTACATCATCTTTTAATAAATTGAGTAACATGCTTAGGATCAAAAGTTCCGTCATATAAGCCAATTTGTGGGACTTTGACTTTTTCTGGTAGAGGCTCCAAAGTCAACTCGGGCGCCAACGGTGAATCTATCTCTACGTATACGTGGCCCGGTTCCTGGATACGTGGGTTGGGCGGCGATTTCGCGCTCCTCGCTTGTCGGGTTTCGAGTTCAGCGACTCTTCTCCTCAGGGCTTCCATCTCTGGGTTGTCGCGCCTTGCCGACCGCCTCTCTCTATCTGATGTCGGAGGTCGGGTGAGTCCCCAACTGGTTGGAATAGGGGTCTAGCGACCACGACTACTCTCCTGGCCTGGCCGGGCTGGCTTTCTGCCGTCATTTCCTGTGCGTTATCTCCCTGGGGATTCGTATTTCTAGCCAACGGTTGGCGTGGGTTGTCGTCTCGCGGTTGGGATGTCACTGAGATAAAGTTTGGTTGTTCGCGCCTTCTTGTGTCGGTGGCGCCGTGGGCCTGGTCGGCGTTATAGGCGCGAGGGAGTGTCCCGACGTGGCCCTGGAGGCATACTCTGTGCGAGTAGAGTAGAGAATCCTTTTGCGAACTCTGGATTTTGCATGAGTCCTGCAAGGTCCGGTATAGCTGTAGCGTTGGTTCTACCGGTAGTGGGGATCGGGCCGCGATTGGCCCCTCCCCTGGATGTTTGATCGTCTTGTCATGACTGAGCCATTTAGTAACCGGTGTCGATATTGACATGAACGTTTCTTGTTCTTTTTCTCGAAGAGCTGGATTCGGAGATTGACTTCAAATATCTTATGAGGCCCTTTCTCTAGCGCCAAACTATCGATAAACGGATTTGACCAACTCTTTAAGTATAGGAAAAGATGGATTAAAGCGTAAAAAGGGTGATTTTATTGATTAAATACGATCTGGTTTAGAGAGACTGCAGGTCGGTAATTCATATAGGATCTCGGTTTTTTAATACAGGAGGTCGGTTTTTCTTTAGACCGAGGTGATAAATGCAGCATTGAATGTGTCGGGAAAAAAAATCCTCGTATTTAATTTAATTATGCTATTTATAGTAACTTTCGGCTTGTCTTTTGAGGAGATTCGGTGGCATTTAATGCTCTGCCACAACATAGGTTCATCTTTTCAGCGAGTGGGTCCCTCGGCAATATGGCTTTCACGTGGGCCGAGACGTCTGATGGACAAACATTTAATGTGGTCGGCTGCTGGTGACGTCGGTCCTCCGGGGTTACGACTTGATCGAGGTTGGTCTACTCCTTGAGGTCGGCTCATTCGTTCGGCAGATACACTCCCTCTCACCGTGGTTTTTCCGTTTGCTTCTTCAAATAATGCACGCGTCACCAGTCCAACATAGGAGGTGATATTTATGTCAACAGTTGTATTTTAATGTAATTCACTATTATAACTATTGAATTATAAATATATTTTAAAAGTTGATAACTTTTGTATTTCTTATTAGTTTTACATATATAATGTATCAAATTAATTATCTTTCGATGAGCTTCGATTTGACATATATATTGCATATATAAAATACATAAATTATATATATCTTTACAATAATAAAAAAGTATTTATTAAAATTAATTAAAAAATAAAATTATTTCTCAATTAATATATTCATGTTTAATGTAGTGATATGTTATAACTTAAAAAAATTATTATAACATAATCCATGTAAATCACACAAGTAACAAGTGTCATACTAAATATAATATATATATATGTGTATATATATATTTATATAAATATATGTAAAGTATTTAAATTTCAATTACATTTTCTTAATAATTTTAAATTTTAAGAAAAAAATTTAGCAAGCACCCGTGCAATACACGGGCGTTGTACTAGTAATAATAATAATTAAAAAAATAGTTATCAAGAAATTATTTTTACTTCTCCAAATTCACCAATTAGTTATAAATTATTATCAAAATTTATTTAGGGACAAGAATCTAATCATTATGTAAATTACTTAAATTATAGAACAAATTTTGGAAATTAAATGATCTAAATTTATTAATTATAGAAAGAAATACAGGTTGATAGAATGATTATAATACACAATGTTTAATTGTATGTTAAGTTACCCCATGCTAAATTAATGTGTTTGAGATGAATTATTATTGTTAAACTATACTTATTATGCTAAGTATCTCTACCTCTAAATTCAGTTCAAACTCTCCTCTCACTTTTTCTGTTAGCCATGAAGATCTGTATTGCACCCATAGTTTTTTCAGCATGGCTCACGCTCTTGGCCTACAGACTTTTATCATCATCAAGAAGAAGAAGAAAACATGGACAAATTCGTCATCATCACAACCAAGATGACGCAATCGGTGAACTACCGGATTGTGTCCTGATCTCCATCCTCACGCTCCTGCCGGTCAAGGATGCTATTCGGACCAGTGTCTTGTCCAAACGGTGGACGACTCTTTACAAATTTGTCGTCCACCTCAACCTCCACTGCCATCACCTCGATAATGATCGTTATAGATTTGATATGGTCAAACGATATGTGTATCGCCATTGCAATATAGATATCAGCTTCATCACTCGTCGCCTTTATAAATCGATCGATATCCGTCACATATCCTCAAAGTATTTCGACTCCCGACGTGGTTCTAAAATTCATAGTCTTGTTTTCTGTTGTTGTCTGATCAAATCATACCCCTACCACTTTTCATACATGGGAGGATTCCGGGCATTCCTTAAATATCTAGATAGCACAGCTGACGTTAAGAAACTTGTTGTTCAATGTTGTTGTTTGGCGATGCAGCCACAGCCCTGCTGCCCTTATTCGTATTCTTGCGTCCACCTTCTTTACTGTATGCCCCGCTTGAGGTACTTGGAGTTTAAATCGATCTACACCTGGCAGTGCTTGCCCAAATTGCATACCAATATGTCCCTCCGGAATATGAGGTTGAGTAAAGTTACTGTACTCGACGGGGCACTAGACCTCATCCTGTCGGGTTGTTTGGGCCTCTGCTCATTGAGGATGGATTACTGTGAGTTTCGTAGTTCGAAATTGCATATATGTGGGCCCAACCTTCGACTGGAGCATCTCGACATCGAGGAGTGCAGAGGGGTGGAGGAGATCGAGCTTTGTGCCAACAATCTTGTTACGTTTGAGTTCCAGAGCCGCAGTAAAGTAGTCGAGCTCATATTCGACCATGTCCCTCGGCTGCAGAGCATGTATTATGTCTTTGAACAAGACATTATGTTACATGTTTTTGTTAGACGTCCCTCTGAATTGCCTACCAATCAGCTCAAGTCGTTAGCTTTTGTTAACAAATATGACATCAGTAAAGCTGTTATTTATTGGGTACGATGGAGAATAAAACAACTTGTTCTCTTCTAAATATATTAGATAAATTCCAGATCTTAACTTTGCATTCTTGATTCTCAGGTTCGGAAGGTTGGTCAGACTAATACATATAGTAACCTTAGACAATTAAGGTTGCGGTTTTCTCATACAACCTACACAACTATGCTTTTGGGGATAATTCGACTTCTTCGGAGTTGCCCGCTCTTACTCGAGTTTCACTTGGATGTAAGTTTTTTGTAAAACAACAATCTTGTCGCATTTAAGAATAATATTTCTTATCACAATCTTTATTCTTTAGAACAAACTGCAAACTAAAACAAGTGGATGCAGTTAAATGCATCGATCCTAATACTAACACCCTCGACAGAAATAATTTATCTGCTAAACCGTATAGTTACATTTCCGAAAGAATAGAAGAATGATCACCAGTTAGTAACTGAAGCTACATTGGTGTACTCTCTAAACTACTTGTCGCTAAATTGCACAACTCTAGTTCGTCGGTGGTATATAAATTGAAACGTAGCATTGTAATTAGTCCTCTGTTTAAAGCCACATGCATAACTTTGTGTTGTGGGACATCTAAAATAGGGCGTAATATACTACAAACACTACCAAAAAATTAACTATGTTCCTTTATGCAGACTGAAACTGTGGAAAGTGATGGTCGTAAAGCAATGAGACCACCGACAGCAGAAACACATTCGCACTTGAAAAAAGTGGAAATAACAGGATTTTGTGGATCTATAAACGAAATCGAGTTTGCGTTGTACATACTTGAAAATGCAACCTGTCTGGAGCAAATGCAGATAAGCCGGTGTCCCAATAAGTGGCACACTGGGTTTGGCAGGTGGATGGAGCATGAAGACAAGCCTCGTTGGAGTCGGCAGACACGGAAAAACATCCGCCAACAGTTGCAAGGCCGAGCTCTTTCGGAGACCGCACGAGTAATTATTCGACATTTTCCTGCCTACGATGATGATACTTGGTCGAAACGCGAGACTGATTATGATAGTCATTGTCCTTGATTAAAGGTTAACTTACCAAGTGCAAATGCAGCAAAATACTAGAGGCGAGCTTGTCTAGCTTACACTATTTCTTAGAAGAGGTATTTATATGTCAGTTGTTTAAAATATTCTGTCATTTTTATTCAAGTTTTTGTATAAAATCGGTACACGCATCATATGTTTGCTCAAGTTTTAACATTACGTTGTTTAATTTGAAAATTAAACATTGTCTGGTTTTTGAATGTGGGGTGTCTTTTTGAGTTATATATGTGGTTTGGGTGATGATTTGCTAGCTTATGTTGCACTTCTTTTCTAAGATTTTCACGATTATTATTATTATTATTATTATTATTATTATTATTATTATTATTATTATTATTATTTTGTGTGTCCTTAATTACTACCGATTCTTTGTATTCCCATTAAAATTTTGGATAAAATTGATTCTTAAATACAAAATGACGTAAATACAAAAACATAAGATAAATCAATCTTGTCATTATATACAGAATATATACAGAAGATGTACAAAAAACACATTATATTGTCGATTGTGCTTACGATAATATATATATAAAAGATTTTCATCTTCTTCACAGCCTCGGGCGTTTTGACCTCGCACAGCTTCTTCGTCTTCTTCTTCTTCACCTTCTCCGCAGCCAATTTTCGGATCGCCAGTTCTTTTCCAGCGGTCGTGTCGATTTTCTTCGGAAGAATCGAGGTTCTCGCAGAGGTCGGAATCGTGTACGAGCTCTTGACCTTGACGATCTTTTTCGATCTGACGAGCCTTTTCAATTAAACGGACAAGATTTTCTGGAAGTTTGTTGGGAACGATTTCTCCCCAGTAGCAGGTTGTCGAGGAGCAACTTGTAAAAGAAGAGAGAGAGAGAGAGAAAATCTTACCAATCTATTACTGTATAAAACACTTAAGAAAAAATACAGTTTTAGTAAGTGTTTTTTCTGCTCAATTATTTCGAAAATTACCTTTTTGGAAAAAAAAAAAAAAAATTGACAAATTTTTGTAAAATCCCGTCTACATAAATAATTTGTTTTTTTAATGGAATTTGGTGAAATCATATTTTTAGACGACGCCTAATTTCACTCTTTATTTTTAGGATGCTAATTTCACTCCTTTTTGGTATGGGATTTAGTACATTTTAATTGGTGAAATCCCATTTTTTGGGAATTAGTGAAATCCAGTTTTTAATCAATAAGTAATGTTTACCCATATAAATAAGTATGTTTATCCCTACAATTTTGTAAACAATATTTTTTCCCAATAAAAAATATTCTTCATACAAAATTAACACTATTTTTTAGCTAATGACTTCCTGTGCAAATAAGGTGAGAAAAATTTTGAAAAAGTGTGTGGTGGGGTTAACTAATTAATTAATGTACATTGTATGAACAACATCTCACATTGTATAAAAATAAAAATAATATCAATTTATATCCCAATTTCAATGTATACTTCATATAATTTATTCAATAATTAAACATTAATCAAATTACCGATCGAATTTAAAAAGAAATCTAAATATTATCCTATATCATTTTTTTTCTTTTATATTTATTTTTTTATCAAACAATTAATAGAAAATACTATTCTCATCATATATTTAATTATTATAAAATTAAATTCAATCTAATTAAAGTGACAATTCAAAATTATTATAAAATTAAATTAAGTATTCCTAATAAAATCAAATTAAAATCTTGAAGATCACTTTTATTTATAAATATATACTTGGATAATTTATATAATCATATCTATTACTATATAACACAGTTAAGAAAAACTATTCAAAAAATTTGAAATAAATAATTCATTTTCTCGCTTGTCTAAAGTCATTTTCCCACTTGTGTATTTTGTTTTTTTTTATCATTTTTGGATTTTTTTTTTTTTATTTTTTATTTTTTATTTTTTTTTGTTTTTTCCCACTCATGCAATTTGTTTGAAATAATTCACCAATGCAATTTGCTTGAAATCCGCCAATGCAATAAGATGATAAGATTTTGGCAAAAAATTGGATATTATTAATTGTTACGTGATATGATAAACAATCGGATAATATGATAAGCCTAATCATTTTGGCTTAGAATGAAATCAAACGATTATTCAACTATATAAAATAACTAGTTTTTAACCCGTGCATTTGCACGGAAAGCAATATAATAGAATAAAAATAATAAAAAGATATAAACAATAGTAAAATCATAATATAATCACGGGAAAAATGTTCTAAAAAAGAATAACTAAATATTGTTAAACAATTCTTTATATACAACGTTTGTGGTTTTTCTATCAACATAATCTCCATCACTACAAATCACAATCTTCAAATTAAGACATATAATGGTTTTATTTTTTTAAACAATTATTGTATTTTGTAATAATATAGGAAATTTAAAAAAAAAATACTAAAAAAATACCAGAAAATATTACAAATAATTGTATTTAGTTGATAAATAATGATATGTGCCAAATATTTAAGACATTTAAACAAAATGACAATTTTTGGGCCATAAAGAAATATAGTGATTGAATTATTGAAAAAGCTAAAATTAGAAGTCCACTTAATTTTTTAGGGTAGCCAAAATTAAATATAAAACAGGTAAATGATAACATGACTATAAATAGAGATAAACTCCTTGAGTGATGTAAGCCAATTTTTTTATTTGATGTCGGCGCTTCTTTCGTTATTCACTCTGTCTGATACCCTAAACCTTAACCCGATCTTACGACAAACTCGGCGAGATTCAATACAAAACACATGTTTTACCGGAGATTTTTTCGCAGTAAAGGCTTAAAAAATTTAAAAAAAAAAAAAACATCCGAGAAATGTTGTTTTTTTGGCCAACAGTAGTGATCGAAATATAAATATCCGTCCCGATTTCTTAATGTGTGATGCTAAATCTTAACAGGTCGGTCAAAATCGGGCGATAATATTACAAATCTATGAAGCGCTGAAATATTTTTTGTTAAACATAGTTTTTATTTTTTATTATTTTCAATGATCTGTGTCGTTTTTTGAAATTCTTTTTGAATAAGCTTCAAAGATATATCATATTTTATACATAATTCGAAATTATTTAGATGTTTTTCGAAATCGTTTTTCGAAGAGAACATGACATTGGTCGAACATTTTCAAACTTTTATGTATTTTGTTCAGGGATTGAAAAATAGGTAAGTTTGTAACAGATCCGTTCAGCTCTACTAACAAATATATAGGTAAGTTTATAACATATTTGTTCATATCTGTTTATAACATACATATGTAACTTTTATGTATTTTGTTCAGATTTTGAACACTAAATAGTTCATTTCTTTCTCGTCTTTCTCATCATATCAGTAAGTGAAACTTGCTAACACTTGTTCAAAATCGCTTTTCGAAGTTGTTCAAAGTCTTTTGCCGAAGTTTTTCAAAGTTTTTAGTATTTTGTTCAAAATTTGGAAATATTAGGTAAGATTATAACAAATCTGTTTAGGTAAGTTTATAACAAATCTGTTTAGATATATTTATCGCATATTAGGAATTTCTTGTTTAATGTTTAAAAGAATCTGTAAGAATTTTTATTTTTAAAACTTTTAAGCAAAAAATCGATTTTAATATAAAGGCAGTTGAATGTGTTGATAATGATAGGGAAATCAAATTATTTTTCTTTCTATATTGTATAGTGTCCAATAATGTTCCACATAATTTGTTTTGTTTTTAATTTTGATTTTTTTCATATAGATTTGACTTTTTTTGTTGATTATTAATTATGTTTGATATTTCTATATTATACAACAATCTGCCATTACAGATAATGCCATTACTTACAATGCCTTGTCAATCATTATTCTTTAACTTTGCCAATTTTCGTTTAATATGACTTTTCTGTTGATGAAAGTATGGTTTTTATGCATTAAAATATTGATGTTTTGGATATGTTTTGATGCTATAATCATGCAGAAATTTGTCCTGCCACTGTTTTCTTAAAGAGGAATTGTTTAATGAAAATTAATCATATTTATATTTATAATTGCGAAATAATATTTTTTTTTTCACGGCCAACAGTTTTTTTTTTTTTTAATGAAAAATATGTGACAATTTATTCAGTTCACTTTTTAATTTATAAAACAGAATGTTGATTGCGATAATCAAATATGCAGAAATCATGCATTTTATTGAATAGTAGTAATATAAAATATTTTATTATTACTACTAAATTGAAAGTCAAAGATAGTTAATTTTGCACTATTAATTATGATCATATGAAGTTTTTTTATACATATGTTTTTCAATGAACTTTTTAAATGATAATATTGATAATATAGACTTTGTTATAATAATTATATAGACTGTTAATTTATTTATTTACTTCATTATTTTTTTTAATTCATTTTATTATGCGTATAGTCTAACTTTATAAATTATATGTCATTTAAATGTATCTATACTACTAATTTATAAGGTTTTACCATTTGGGGGAGCTAAATTTTTATTTTAATTATGAAACTAATATTTCTTATCATTTTGCAGCTATATGTTTGATGGAGTATGGCTGGAAATTAAATTACTAAAAAAATTATTTCATTTTTTATGTTGTAATGTAACATGATTTGTATTATAATGTTTGTATTTATTACATGTATTAATATTTTGTATAACTTTAATTGTTTATTCAATTCATAATGGAATAAAAAATAATAATATACAGTTTCTGCACAACAATAATGATTGCCACGTTTATATATATAAATGAGAATAAGAAACATAAATGTGGGATTAACTATAAGAAATTTTTTTAATTTAGCCATTAACTAATTAAGTTTAACTAAAAGAAATCTTCTTAAATGTGGAATTAGTGAGTAATTAATTAAAAAAATGTAACTCCTTTTTGGAGGGAAAGTGAAAATATTTTTATTAAATGTTTTATTAAATGAGATTAGCTAGTAATTATATATATATATATATCGATATTTTATTTCTTAAAATTTATTTAAAATTTCAACTATTATTTGCTTTAAGTTATTGTACATCCCATCTATTATTTGGTTACTATATATTTAAAATCTAAAATAGGTTGGATCGGGTTTAAGGTGATAAGGACGACATTTTTTGTTGTGGGAAATCAAACAAAAGGTATATTATTTTAGGCACTATTCTAAAAATCGGCCTAGGCGGCCGCCTAGGAGCTAGACGGTGCCCGGGCGCCTCCGATTTGCACAAATGGGCAGAAAAAGTCGGCCAGGCAGCTAGGCAGCGCCTAGGCGGCCCTAGGCACACTCCTAGGCGGCCTTGGCAGGTTCGGCGACCAGGCGGTTAGGTGGCGCCTAGGCGGGAGTAGGCGGACCTATGCGCTCCTAGGCGGGCTCGACGACAAATTTTCAGTTTTTTTTTTTAATTTTTTAATTTTTTTAAATATTAATGACATTATTTTGTTCTCATGTTTTCTTTAAAATATATTAATTTTATTATTTGGACTTAGGTGTGTCGATTTATTATAAGTTGAGATAATTTTATTTTGTAGGTAGTTAAAATAAATAAAAAAATAAAGTATTTAATATTGATTTCTAGGCTCCGACTAGGCACAGCCTAGGCCCCACCTAGGCGCTGGTCGAGCGCTTAGCGACTTTTAGAACACTGATTTTAGGTATAAAATCTTATTTCATTTAATAAGCCCAATCAAATTTGGTTATGACCGAATCAAACAATTTTGAATAATATTAAATTAACCAATTACTAATAAATTAATTTTATTTGATTTTCACGTCTAAAATTTTCCAAAATACTATTTTTATTTCTTTATTTT